CAGATGACACAACCTTGCTTGCTGAAAGTGAAGAGGACTTGAAGCACTTACTGATGAAGATCAAAGACTACAGCCTTCAGTATGGATTACACCTCAACATCAATAAAACACATCCTCACAACGGGACCAATAAGTAACATCATGATAAACGGGAGAAAAAATTGAAGATGGCAAGGATTTCATTTTACTTGAATCCACAATCAACACCCATGGAAGCAGCAGTCAAGAAATCAAACGATGCACTGCACTGGGCACATCTGCTGCAAAAAACTTCTTAAAGTGTTAAAATGCAAAGATGTCAGCTTGAAGACTAAGGTGTGCCTGACCCAAGCCATGGTGTTTTCAATTGCCTCATACGCATGCAAAAGCTGGACAATGAATAAGGAAGACTGAAGAAGAACTGATGCCTTTGAATTATGGTGTTGGTGAAGAATATTAAATATACCGTGGACTGCCAAAAGAACGAACAAATGTGTCTTGGAAGAAGTACAGCCAGAATGCTCCTTAGAAGCAAGGATGGTGTGACTACATCTCACATACTTTGAACATGTTACCAGGAGGGACCAGTCCCTGGAAAAGGACATCATGCTTGGTAAAGTAGAGGGTCAGTGAAAATGAGGAAGACCCTCAACGAGATGGATTGACACAGTGGCTGCAACATGGGCGCAAGCATGATAACGAATGTGAGGACGGCACAGGACCAGGCAGTGTTTCCTTCTGTTGTATGTAGGGCCACTATGAGCCGGAAGCAACTTGACGGCACCTAACACCAACATACATCTGTTTAAAAGAAAGTGCTGATAAATTAAGCTATCCAAGAGGTATTATTAAGTTAAAAAAAAGCTAGGTACAGAACAGTATGATCTCGTTTGTACTTTTAAGGATATAAATATGCAATATATGTTTTACATGCATAAATCTTCCTTAGAAGTACTAATGCAACAACAATAATAAAACCTAACATTGTGTGCTAGTTCTGTTCTGAGCATTTTATACATTTTAATTCATTTAATGCCCACAATAACACCCTATGAGTTAAATACTATTATTTTTCCCATTTGACAGATGAGGAAATCAAATCAAAGATGATATATATAATTTGCTCAAGGTCACACAGCCAGTCAAGTGAAGAAAACAAAGGTTTACTTTCGGGAATAAAATGGGGGCTCGGAGCAGGGGATTAGCAAGGGTAACAAGCACCCAGGGGCAATCTCTAAGTTGCACACACCCCCAGTTTCAAGATGTAGGGGTAAGTCCTTCCCCCTCTACCCCCTCCTCGCTACACTTCTGACTTGGAGATAGTGTTGTTAGGTGCCACTGAGTCTGTTCAGACTCCTGGTGACCCTACGTATGACAGAATGAAACCCTGCCTGGTCCTGCGCCATCCTCACAATCGTTGCTGTGTTTGAGCCCATTGTTGCAGCCACTGTGTCAATCCATCTCGTTGAGGGTTGTCTTCTTTTTCGCTGACTCTCTACCAAGCATGATGGCCTTCTCCAGGGACTGTGTCCCTCCTGATAACGCGTCCAAAGTGAGATGAAGTCTCGCCATCCTTGCTTCTAAGGCACATTTTGGCTGTAGTTCTTCCAAGAAGGTGGTTTTTACTTTTTATTTTGTACCCTTCTATACTATTTGAAGGAGCCCTGGTGGCACAGTGGTTAAGCACTCACCTGCTAACTGAAAGGTCGGCAGTTCTAACCCACCAGTGGCTCCACAGGAGAAAGATGCGGCAGTCTGCTTCTGTCAAGATTACAGCCTTAGAAACCCTATAGGGCAGTTCTACCCTGTACTATAGTGTGGCTATGAGTCAAACTCTACTCGATGACAGTGGGTTTGGTTTTATTTTATTTTTTGGTTTATACTGTTTGAAATTTCTTCAATCCACATGTATCTCTATAATGATAATAGTTTTCTTCAATTTCATAAAAAACACACATTTTATACTTTTTTTTTTGCAGTTACACCACCAGATTACCAGCCTCCTGGTTTTAAGGATGGTGATTGTGAAGGAGTTATATTTGAAGGGGAGCCTATGTACTTAAATGTGGGAGAAGTCCCAACCCCTTTTCATACCATCAAAGTAAAGGTAACCACTGAGAAAGAACGAATGGAAAACATTGATTCAGCTATATTGGCACCAAAACTGTCATTAAAAACACCACTTCAAAAAATCCTGATGGACAAAGATGATCTAGAGGATGAACAGGAGCATTATATAAACGTAAGCATTTAAAGAGTTATGAAGTATAATAATGACAAATGTTTGACTCAATTCTGAGGACTTTAATAGCTCTCATTAATATTTATATAAATAATGTGTTATGATCATAAACTCAGGGTTGGAAGAGACCTTAAAGAAGGTTAAAGCTTGAGGTTCTCAAACTTTTTACCTTGTTCCAAACAACATCACACTCAGAAACTTGAAAATACAACTGTTCTGACTGAAGCAGGGAATGGTCTTAGAGGCCCAGCCACTCCTGGCCTCACTTACCTTTCTAGTGGGCTCTGAGGAAATCCCTAGGACTCTGGAACACAATTTGAAAACCACTGAACTAGTCCATTCCCCCAACCAATGCTGGAATCCTTTCTACAGCATCGCTACTAAGTACTCATGTAGCCTGTGCTGGAAATTCCTCCGGGACCTGGAAAGTCGCTGTCCTAGAGCAGCCTGGAAGTTCCTGGAAGACAGGAAATCTGTCTTACTCATCTTTGTAACCCTCTTATGCCTAGCTAGCATTGAGATTGTAGTCAGTGAGTTCTCGATATTGCCTGAAAGAATGGATGAATAGAAGCATAAAAGAGTTTTTGTTTTTTTGCTTCACTCCCAGCAACTGTGAAAGCTGGCATTGCTTTAATCTTTCAGCATTAACATGATGTTCTTTAATCTCAGCTCTGTTGTTTTCTCTTGTCTCATTTTATTCTGAATCATGACCGCAGTACTAATGTACAGAGGCTGACTCTTCTGAACCAGGGATGCTGCTCTGTGGCCACATTTTCACAAATAAAAGATGCAATCAATTTTCAACCAACTCAGTCAAAGAAGAGAGCTTTTTTCCAAAACCTAAATCCTAGTCTTGCTTCATAAATAAATATAGCTGGGATTTATGTAGCATTCTTTGAAATATTTAAAGCTCTTTGACATATGTCACAAAAGGAACAATAATTATAACTAGACATTAAACCTGTTACTATTCCTACCCTACCATGACTGAGCTTCACTAACATCCTGAACAGAGTTGGGGTATATTCAGAGTGTATGCTAGCATCTGGACGGAAATCCCAGAAACCATAGAAGTGTTGGCTTGTTGGGTGAGCATGTCTAGTTCAATGCCCTCAAACAACAATAAGATCTAAGGGCTCTTAGAATCATCAGATATTTTTGAGAAAAGTTGTATATTTTCCTTATTTGTACTTAAAGCAACTCCACAAAGTAAAGAAAAACAATATTTTATACTTTGGATGGAGCCCAAAATGTCGGCAGTTCAAATCCACCAGCCGCTCCTTGGAAACCCTATGGCAGTTCTACTCTGTCCTATAAGATCGCTATGAGTCGAAATTGACTCAGTGGCAATGGGTTTGTTTTTTTTTTTTTAATACTTTGGATAAACAAGTTACTGTTTTATAGTAATTATTGGATCACTTTTATTTCTAACAAGCTTAAGGTAATTGTAGTGTTATGGTATAGTTAACCTTCACATAAAACAAATTCATTTATAAGTACTTCCCCCAATTGTTTTAATTTATTTTTGAAATGTGTCCGTTTTTTTCTTCATGTAATTATGTAGGAAGATTTTGACACTGAAACTAAAATGGAAGAGCAAAAAAAAAACCCTAGATCTTCTGAACTTGGAGGTAAGAAGCTAATGAAAAAATAGGTTAACTGACTTGCAATTCAATTTTATACCATCTTAATTTATATTGTCTTAATTTTTTTTTTCAGAACCAAACTTGATTTGTGAGGAAGATGAAATTATGAGGTCTAAAGAAAGTCCCGATCTTTCAGATTCTCATTCTCAGGTATAAACATTTTAGTTCCTTTTTATGTTTTTTAATATATGTTTTTTTATTGGGGTAAAGTATATATATCATAAAATTTACCACTTTAGCCATTTTTAAGTGCATGATTCAGTGGCGTTAATTATACTCACAGTATTGTGCAACCATCACACTATCTATTTCTAAAATTTTTTACCACCCCAAACAGAAACTCTGTACCCACTGAGCAATAACTCCTGATTCCTCCCTTCCCCTAGCGCCTCTAATCTTGTAACCCTCTCATCTTTGTAACCCTCTTATGCCTAGCTAGCATTGAGATTGTAGTCAGTGAGTTCTCGATATTGCCTGAAAGAATGGATGAACCTTGCTTGCTGTCTTTGTAAGTTACCCTATTCTAGATATTTCATATAAATGCAGTCAAATAATATTTGTCCTTTTGTGTCTGGCTTACTTCACAGCATAATGTTTTCAAGGTTCATCCATATTATAACATGTAATCAGAACTTCATTCTTTTTTATGGCTGAATAATATTCCATTGTATGTACATACAACATTTTGTTGATCCATTCATCTATTGATAGACATTTGGATTGTTTTCACCTTTTGGCTATTGCAAATAATACTCAATGAACTTTGGTGTTTGAGTCTGTGCTTTCAATTCTTTTGACTACATACCTAGAACTTTCAGCTTGAGAAACGCCGAGCGTGTTATTCCCTTTGAGTTTTCTAAAGGCCTGAGATACTCTTTAAATTTGAAACTCAAGCCACTTCCAAAAGTCACCTTTCAGCCAAATGACAGATTGGCCCATAAAATAAATAATATCATCCATGAATACTGTGCTCCTCAAAATAATCGTCTAGATGAAACCAAATGGTTAACGTTTAACTAGACCGAAGATGAGAAGGCTAAGGAGGAAAGGCCTGAGATACTCTTTAAATTTGAAACTCAAGCCACTTCCAAAAGTCACCTTTCAGCCAAATGACAGATTGGCCCATAAAATAAATAATATCATCCATGAATACTGTGCTCCTCAAAATAATCGTCTAGATGAAACCAAATGGTTAACGTTTAACTAGACCGAAGATGAGAAGGCTAAGGAGGACAGGTAAGCTAGATTAATGGAAACAGAAAACCAAAATGGAAATAATGAGAATGCTGATATATTGTGAAGAATGTAACCGGTGTAACTAGACAATATGTATTGTTAAATGAGAACCTAATTTCCTGTGTTAACTTTCACCAAAACACAGTAAAAAAATTTTTTAGTATTAAAAAAAAGGAAGGAATACACAGAGTCACTGTACCAAAAAGAATTGGTCAACGTTCAACCCATTTCAGGAGGTAGCATATGATCAAGAACCAATGGTATTGTAGGAAGAAGTCCAAGCTGCACTGAAGGCATTGGTGAAAAACAAGCCTCCAGGAATTGACAGAATACCGAGATGTTTCAATAAACAGATGTAACACTGAAAGCACTTACTTGTCTATGCCAAGAAATTTGGAAGACAGCTACCTGGCCAACTGACTGGGAGAGATCCATATTTGTGCCCAATCCAAAGAAAGGTGGCCCAACAGAATGTGGAAATTATCAAACAATATCATTAATATCACATGCAAGTAAAATTTTGCTGAAGATCACTCAAAAGTGGTTGCAGCAGTACATCAACAGGGAATTGCCAGAAATTCAAGCCAGATTCAGAAGAGGACGTGGAACAAAAGATATCATTGCTGATATCAGATGGCTCTTGGCTGAAAGCAGAGAATACGAGAAAGATGTTTACCTGTGTTTTACTGACGATGCAAAGGCATTCAGCTGTGTGGATCATAACAAATTGTGGATAACATTGCGAAGAATGGGAATTCCAGAACACTTAATTGTGCTCATGCGGAGCCTGTACATAGACCAAGAGGCCGTCATTCAAACAGAACAAGGGGATACTGCCTGGTTTAAAATCAGGAAAGGTGTGTGTCAGGGTTATATCCTTTCACCATACTTATTCAATATGTATGCTCAGCAAATAATCCCAGAAGCTGGACTATATGAAGAAGAGAATAGGGCATCAGGATTGGAGGAAGACTCATTAACATACTGCAATATGCAGATGACACAACCTTGCTTGCTGAAAGTGAAGAGGACTTGAAGCACTTACTGATGAAGATCAAAGACTATATATAGCCTTCAGTATGGATTACATCTCAACATAAAGAAAACGAAAATTCTCACAACTGGACCAATAAGCAACACTATGATAAACGGAGAAAAGATTGAAGTTGTCAAGGATTTCATTTTACTCGGATCCACAATCAACACCCAAGAAGTAGTGGTCAAGAAATCAAATGACGTATTGCATTGGACAAATCTGCTGCAAAAGACCTCTTTAAAGTGTTAAAAAGCAAAGATATCACTCTGAGGACTAAGGTGCGCCTGACCCAAGCCGTGATATTTTCAGTCACCTCATATGCATGCGAAAGCTGGACAATGAATAGGGAATAATGAAGAAGAATTGACGCCTCTGAATTATGGTGTTGGCGAAGATTATTTAATATACCATGGACTTCCAGAAGAATGAACAAATGTGTCTTGGAAGAAGTACAGCCAGAATGTTCCTTAGAAGCGAGTATGGCAAGACTTCATCTCATGTACTTTGGACATGTTATCAAGCGGGACCAGTCCCTGGAAAAGGACATCATGCTTGGTAAAGTAGAGGGCAATCGAAAAAGAGGAAGATCTTCAAAGAGATGAATTGACACAGTGGCTGCAACAATGGGCTCAAACTGTGAGAGTGGTGCAGGACCAGGTAGTGTTTAGTTCTATTGTTCCTAGGGTCACTATGAGTCAGAAGACCCTACTGACTTGAGGGAACCTAACAACAGCAACATATACCACAAGTGGAATTGCTGAGTCATATGCTAATTCTGTGTTTAACTCTTTGAGGAACCGTCAGCCTGTTTCCCACAGAAGTCCATTTTACTTTTAACACTTTTTTTTGAAAGACTGTTTCTTATATGCTTGCTTGGTTATTTCTCCAAGTTTCTTATTCTATGTCATTAAGAAGAAAACAGTGTATTTAGAATGCTTTTTACTAACAAAATCTTGCAATTACGTGTTGAAAAGTTTTGATTATATTACTGGTGTATTTGCTTAGGAATAAACTTAAATACTATTCACAGAATCTCAGAATTTCAGAGCTAGATAGAATCTTTGGGATTATCTGTTCCACCCACTTTATATTTACAGATGGAATATATTATACATTTTTGTTGCCTTGTAGCAGAACTTGTTTAATTTTGCTTTCCATATACAGTGAAATCCTGCAATAATAGATTTAGATAAAATTAATTTGGAAATAATGGCATTGATGATGGTCTGACTTCCTCTGCCCAGCTCCTTTCTCAAATGGCAGTGGGCTAAAGTTCTTATCTTCTGCAAACGTAGTACCTGGTGATCATTTGGGACTTGCCCAGTTCAGTGAATTGCCAATTTTGTATAATGTCCGTTTCACTATCTTTACTTTTGTGTTTTTTATGTTACTTGGTTTTGTATAATTATTTTCTTTTCTAGTTTGAGCAGTTAGTCAATAAAACATCTGAACTTGATGTGTCTGAAAGCAAAACAAGAAGTGGAAAAATCTTTCAGAATAAGATGGTAAGTATCTCCTTAGGTTTGTTCTCCATTCTAACCTTGTAATTTTCTCCCATATGTGACTTTATATTGCTTTTTAATACTTCATTTATTGAACCAATATTTATTAAGCACCTATTATGTGTCAGGTACTCTGTGAGGTGCTTGGGATGTAAGCGGAATAATCCATAGTTCCAGGTCTTAGCTAAACATTTAGTAACTGGAGGTAAACAAGCAGTGATATAGAGCTATGATAGAAGTCTGGATGGGCTCCATGGAGGCACAAAGGAAGGAACGGTTAATTTTACTGAAGGTGCAGAAGAGAGGGGAATCCAGCAAAGGCTTTGAAAAGTGACAATATTGACCACGGTCTCAGGGGACATCTAGCTAAGCTGGCATAACAGAGTTCATAAAGAAAATGTTCTACTTTCTACTTTGGTGAGTAGCTTCTGAGGTCTTAAAAGCTTGCAAGCAGCAAGCTATGTCTATTGGTCCCATCCCATCTGAAGCAAAGGAAAATGAAGAAACTAAAGACACAATGACAATATTAGTCCAAAGGACTAATGGCCCACATAAACCACAGCCTCCACCAGCCTGAGCCCAGAAGAACTAGATGGTGCCCAGCTATCACCACCAACCGCTCAGACAGGGATCAGAATAGAGAGTCTCAGACAGAGTGGGAGAAAAATATAGAACAAAATTCAGATTCACAAAAAAGACCAGACAGACTGGTCTGACAGAAACTTAAGGAACCCCTGAGACTGTGGCCCACGGACACCCTTCTAACTCAGAAGTGAAGCCACTCCCGAAGTCCACCTTTCAGCCAAAGATTAGACAGACCTACAAGACAAATGGTAACATAGGTGGGAAATGTGTTTCTTGGTTCGAGCAAGTCAATGAGACCAAGCGGGCAACACCCCCACAAAAGCAAAGAGGAGGAGGCAGGCAGGGACAGAAACTGGACGGATGGACACAGGGAACCCGGGGTGGAAAGGGATAGGGGGAGAGTGCTAACACATTGTGGGGATTGCAACCAATGTCACAAAACAATTTGGTATACATTTTTGAATGAGAAACTCATTTGCTCTGAAAACTTTCACCTAAAGCAAAATAAATTAAAAAAAAAAAAAAAGTGACACTATCATCCAGACTCCCAAGGAAATTTCCTAGGATGCCAAAATATTCCCATGTTCAATCTTGTAAATTGATTTATCTTGTTAATAAGATATTGTAAATATAATGTGTTGTATATAACTTGCATAAAATGAATCTTATGTTCTCAAACCAAAAAAATCACTTCTTTCTTTTAGTTTCTGGTATGACTTAGTATTTTACTTTAGACCTTTAAGTTACTCTCAAAATTCAGGGGTGAAGAAAAAGCATAATGTAAAATATATAAAACATTACATACAAAATATTCCTATCAGTGGTGTGCTGGAGCTGGATTTTAAGAGCCAGTTGTTAGCATTTCTTCCCAACTCCTCATTCAGTGACTTCATGTTGATAGCTAGAGATTTGACATGGTCAGAGTATTCACAGCACAAAAATCAGCAAGTGCCTCAGACAGGGTTTGTTTTTTTTCTTCTTTTCTCTCTCAGGGAGCTAGTTGCTAAACATTTGCTAGCATACCACTGATTATAGTGCCATTTTAAGGTGTGTCCTTTTTTCTACATTCTCAATGAGAAATTAGAGCTGGCAAGAAGGCAGCATTCAAGCTAGTGTATAGATGAAAACAAGAGATAAACAAATGTCAAGAATTACTACCTCCAGCAGCAAAAAGTCTCCCTAGCCAGCTTCTGTTTAGGATGAATATTCTTTACGAGGATATAGGGAGGAAGGCAGGCAGTAAAAAATATATTATTAGGCAAGATTTCCTTGTAATGTAACATTAAAATGCTTTGAGAACATAAGTTCATTTCTGAAAATTGCCCATGGTTTTGGTTAGGAGTTCTCAGCCAGGGTGCTCTTGATTTTGAGAAACATGACTGCATTACAGCGAGGAAAGGGTAAGAACATAAAAATATTAATAGTATATATACTATGGAAGTGGAGCCCTGGTGGTGCAGTGGTTAAGAGCTGCCGCGAGCTATGGCTGCTAACTACAATGACGGCAGTGGGAATCCAGCAGCCACTCCTGGGAACCCCTGTGGGGCAGTTCTACTCTGTCCTACAGGGTCGCTCAGAGTCGGAATCGATTGGACGGCCGCAGGTTTGGTTTTTGGTACACTGTGGAAGGAATCATTGATAAGGGCGTTTTAAGTGTCAGAAAAGAAATACTTCCTTTTAGAGGATAATAATATGATAGCTAATAGTTTGTCATCATATAAAATTCATTTAAAACTGCATATGGTTGAAGAATCAAGCATTGGCTCTTGAGATATAACCAGTTAGTAATTATTTTGTCTTTATGGAGGCTAATGGAAATCAACCAGTAAAATCTTCTAAAGAAAATAGGAAGAGAAGTCAGCCATTACCAGTCAAAACAGTAAGTCTCATGATAATGTATATGTTGAATAAAATGGCAAATATCAGAATATTATCAATATAGATTAAGATTAAAATGATAAATATGATAATATCCTTGGATATACCTCAAGCTCTGATATTCAAATCTTGTTTAAATATATTTGATTCTTAAAAATGAGGTGATTTTTAAATAAGATGAACTAAGTTGGTTTATTATTTTTTTCCTGTAAATTTTTACTGCCTCATTCCATGAATGATTCGAAGTAGTTAGAGGAATTTATAAAATAAAAATCAGTGTCAGGAAAAATATGAGTCAAATGAGAAAGTTACAATGCAAGAATATTCAGGCCATTCTGTTACTACAGAGGTGAAATTGTGCCAGAGTCCCGGGGTGATACAATCGGTTAAGCACTTGACTCCTAGCCAAAAAGTTGGGGGTTCAAACCCACCCAGAGGCTCATCGGAAGACAGCCCTAGTGATTTGCTTCTGAAAGGTCATAGCCTTCAAAACCCTGTGGAGCTGTTCTCTGCACACATGGAGTTGCCAAGAGTCAGAACTGACTTGACAGCAACTAACAACAAAATTGTACAAATTGGATCTGAGCTTTCTAGAGGCCAAAACTAAGGTGGAAACAAGGTAAACTGCCAAATCCATGTGTTCCCCAAAAGTATAGCGCCTCCTCTGTCAGCCCAGAACTAAAACAATTTCCGAGGCCAACTCTTCAGACAGGGATTGGACTGGACTGTGGGACATAAAGTGATACTCGTGAAGAGTGTGCCTCTTAGTCGAGTAGATACAAGAGACCAAAGGGGCAGCTTCTGTCCAGAGGTGAGATGGGAAGGCAGAGAGAGTTAGGAGCTGGTTGAATGGTCATGGGGAATCAGGGGCGGAAAGGAGGAGTGTGCTGTTGCAGAATGGGGTGAGCAATTAGGGTCTCATAACAATGTATGTAAAAAAAAATTTGTATGGGAGACTAACTTGAAATGTAAACTTCATTTAATTACAACAATTAAAAAAAAAAGTATAGCGCCTCCTTCTAGTACCTCAAGAGAAAGAAAACTTTCCCTGACCTAAGTCCTATGACAGATAATGTATTGGGTATTTCTGAGATAAACATTCATTTTTCTGACTTGAATTTTTAGTATTATTAGTAGGTTAAAATTAGATGATTCAAACCGTAATATTCTTTTAAAATCAAATGTTAAAGAAGCAATCTCAATAACGTAATTGGTTAATACTATTTTCAGTTGTATAACTTAAGAAGGGAGTGGAATAACCTGATGTTCCATTAACATTTTAGGTTGTTTAAATATCCCCAATTATTAAGCCTTGATTTATTCTGCAAAATCATAATCCAATTTGTAATCCCTAGTGAGTTTGACTTTTTCCATCAAAATCAAAATTCAGTAGCCTAGGGAATCTTATTAAGTGTTCCCTAATTCATCCTCCCATTCATTCAGAAACATGCATTGAATTTCTAGTATGGATCAGGCATTACTGAGCACCAAAAAAACAGGAAATGATCTAAACTTACATGGTGCCAAAATAGAATGTTTTTCTATTTGTAGTTGATTTTTTAATCTTTTTTCCTTTCTCACACTCTCCGAATATTTGACTGTTGTGAGGACATAGTGTTAAATCTCTTTGTAAGTGCTTCAGCAACCCTGATGAAGACCTTATATTTTGCAAGTACCTACTTTCAACAGCCATTGGAGGATGTAACTATGTTAATAATAAAATTTACCCTACTTTTAAAGAATCCAGGCATTCTTACCTTAGCAGGAAATAGTTCTGCTATGCATAATAATAAAGAAACCTCAGAGACATTAAAAAAGATCTAAAATTAAAGACATTTAACCTGGAAAGTATCTAAGCAGATATCTTCTTTTAACAGGTCCTCCATCACTTTGATTCTTCTAGTCAAGAGTCAGTGCCAAAAAGGAGGAAGTTTAGTGAACCAAAGGAACATATCTAAACATTCTTTTCTTTCTGCACCTTTGCAAAGTTGTTCTCAGCATTAACTAAAGGACACTGTATTACTATTTTAAGGTGTGTTTTCTATACCTCTGAAATTTTATATATAGTCTTAAGCAGTTCATACACTAAAATGAAGTTCTTAGCTGACTATCATATTGTAGTCCTTAATCTTATCTGAGACTAATCCAAGAAAATTTTTTAATAAGACCAAAAGTACCCATCTCATACTTGATTCAGTTCTTTATCTACTTAGTACTGATGTGTCTTCCACTTTGGTGGACAATTTCTTTAAGCATATGTTAACTTTTAAGGCCCTCTAAAACCATTTTTTAAAACAAACAATGTTTTTTATGCTATTAAAATTTGGTAGGGACTCACTATTTATGTTAAAACTATACCAGCTGTGTTTGTCATTGTGTTGTTATTAAAAGTGTTCTTCAGTACTTTAATAAGTGTATTAACATAATGCATGATGTCCAATAAAAAAATTGGTGCTTTACTTTTTTTTTTTTTTTTTTAACGTTTTTTACTACAGGAAAAAAGATGACTAATTTTTAAGGTCTTGTATTTTTAGCAGTGTAAATAAAATATTGTTCAGCATGTAGACTCTTTCATGTCTTTTAATTTTTAATTAGAAAACATTTAGGCACTAAATAATTATTAGATCATTTCAGTAGATGTTACTTTGCAAGAGTTGAGCACACTTTTGACTGGAAATGTGAAATACTGTGCTTTTAAGTGGAAACCTGGGCCCTAGTTCTAACGTTACCCGTTTCCTTTGTTTTAGAAAACAAGACTTAGAACTTGGTCTGTGCGCCTCTGGCGTTTGCAGCGGCCATGTTCTAAAAACATACATTGCCCGTTGCTAAGCGGTATCGCGAATGTTGGGGTGCATGCCGTGGCAGAAATGTCCCCAAATAAACGGTTTACGGGAACCAAATAAACGTCTCCAAACTGACCCATCCGGTTTCTCTGGAACAGACAATAAGGGATAAGCTCCCTACCAGAAACAATATTAGAATGTTTGTTTATTCTTTGCATGGTTGCCTGGACCCCAACACATGTCACCTAATGTCCCCGTACCCACCGCTCCAGTGACACAGCCGCCGCTCCGGGGCTGAGACCCACGTCTCCGTAGGTCGCGAGCCCGAGTTAGCCCACTGGACGCTTTGATTGGCCGGTGTCATGGAGGTGGGAGCGCGGCCCCTTCCTCTCTCCAACCAAGGTTCCTTCATTGGATTGACCAGCTGTCAGGTTGAACCCAAACCTGCCTCCGTCTGGTGGTGTTTGTCTGGATCGCAACACAATAGCCGGGGGGAGAGCCTCCCCTCCTAAGCTCCGATTGGCTGGACTCAACCTTGGTGGTTCCTGATTGGCCCAATGAAGAAACACCAAGGTAGGTTGCCTAGTGATCCTGAGGAAGCTGATGTGTTATTCCTCCCCTGCATCGAAGGATCAGGAAGTTTCTGCTCTACGTGGCTGAGAAGTTTTTCACCCACTAGGACCGGGGAGGGGTGGGGTGGGGACAGGTGTCCACCTATGAAACAGCGCAAGCAAGCAGTCTGCGTCCAGCTGTAACCCAGGGGTAATATCAGGTAAGCAGCGGGGAAAATACATTGTCTAACGTCCAAAATAATAATAATAATAAAACCTCTAAATTTTTTATTTCGTGGAGAGAGGAAGATTTTTGTTTATCTATTTGTTTTGGCCATTTGTTTTTTCAAGTAGGATTTTTAACTAGTAAATATCTGGGGCGAGTTAATTCCTCAAAGAAAATTCCTCTTTGATTTTTTTACCCCAAAGGTTTAAAGTTTCTCAGTTTGGATTAAGAAATCTGTTCTATTCACAGTGCCAGATAGGGTTAGTGCCCGTCAGTGTTTATTTCATCGCTGTCTTCCTCCTCCACTCTCCTTCCCGCCTCCCAAGAACTCTATTTGAACTATGTCCTTGTACGACAATCTTTTGTAAGTCACTTCATTTGTATTTCTATTTCAAATATTCACATGCATTTCTGAGTATTCATTTTAATCTATATATTTATTGAGCAGTTACAACGTTAAAGAGATTGTGCTAGTTGCTATGGAGAATATAAAAACCAAGAAGACAATATCCCTGCTCTCAAGAAGTTGACAGTTGAGAGACAGCCATACCAAAAGAAAGACTATAATAAATACTTTAAAGGAAGTAAGTATAAAGAAAGTTCCATGCAAGTACAGCCCAGGGAGAGACCACTTCTGACCGTGAGGCATATGGGTAATGGAGAAGGGAAACGCATCTGAGGCTTCACAATGGGTTTGCAGTAGGCCTTTGAAGAATGGGCAGAATTTAGAGAAGGGAAAAGGGAGAGAACCCCAGCGTGACCAAAGGAGCAGAAAGCACAGGGGGTATTTGAGACATGGTTTGACAGCAGTGCAGAGTTGGGAGTAAGGGGAAGTATTGCTAGAAGGTACAATGGGGTCAAGCCTCAGAGGCTCTTGAGTGCCATTCTTCTGACCTTGAAAAAGATACTCTTTTAAATAATTGCTAATTAAAACTATTTATTGTATGTCATCTTAAAAGCACACTGAGATATATCTAAAGTATGCTAACTTTTAATTTTATCACAGATGATTTAGTGAAGTTTCTTTTGACTGTAGATTTTTTTAAACAGCTGTAGTGCATGATATAAAAGGGCATATGCTTCAATACTTTTTTATTTTTGGGAAAGGATCTCCCAATCTATTAACACTCTGTTGTCAGTACACTTTGTTGGCAGCTGTGTGTATTTTCAAGATGACTAGTTGAGGTCTGGAGATGCATAGTTTACTGGCTATGTGGGATTACTTCACATGATCTTTTCTAGACTAGTAATCTCCAAAGGGAGTGCATGAAATAAGCCATTAGTGTATGAGACGGAAGTATTAGAAAGTGCGTTCCTATTTAATTTTTCTCATCCTTTTTTATTTTCTATTTTTTTGTATTTTTTATAATAATAGTATTATTGAATGTCTGTAGAAATTATATATAGTGTTATATACACATCTGGGGGCTGGAAGCTCATAATTTTTGCTGCCCCATATTTAACTTAGGGATCCATTTTGTGAAAGAGGAATTACTGTGGTGGACACTCACTCCTGGGTTATAGATTATGCACAAGAAATAAGGAGATTTAAAAGATGATAATTCGTTGAACTTTAGAATTACTAATTTGATCTCTTGTCAGTGCTGTCTGTGGAATACAAGCTATTGTACTTTTGAAAAGAAATTGTGTTTCCCATGCAACTTTTCTGATCATTTCTCCTTCCTTTCCTTCTCTGTTTGAGTTACTAAATATTTCTTCTGTATACGTTTTTAGTATGCATGTATGAATATCTATATGTGTTTCTGTACCTAAGCACACATAGAGATGCTCTTTCACCACCCCCTCCAGAAACAAGTGAGAATGACCACTTTAACTCACCGGACCCGTCGCGCTGAAGTAGGGAAGAACTTTGAAAAGAAAGTGGAAAGTGACGATGACACTAATCAGGAGAGGAATCCAGACACTGAGGACTCTGGAGACTCTAAGGATATCCGCCTCACCCTTATGGAAGAAGTATTGCTCCTGGGACTGAAGGATAAAGAGGTACTGCTGCTGGGTTTGCTACACTGTCTCAAAGACTTCTAAATACTGGAATGTTTTTAGGAAGTAATCTGATGAAATGTTTTCCTTAATGCTGTGTTGGACTTAGAATTGTGCTCCAGCCATCTAGGGATGGAGAGGTTTGAGGGGCTGACTGATACTTGGAGAGTAAAATCCAGAATATAATTATGTGAGGTGTAATTTAATTACAAAGTTGCTCCAGAGTTTTAGAGGATACAGCAGAGGATAAGATGATGTAAGGCGTTTGTATTTGCAATTTCCCAAGTCAGAATTGCTGGTGAAATAATTCTTTCTCATTAAAGTAAGAAAGAGGGCCCACACTGTGAAGTCTTCTTGTGCTTTGGAGGGGAAAAAGTCTTTTTAATGAAAAGACAAGGAACAAGGGTGATTACCTTTCTTACAGAAAGAAATGGTAGGTAGATTTCTTATAATATAGCGGAAATAAATTTTTTATTGTCTTCTGTGGATCTTTAGAAGTTTAAATATCAACAGTTGATGAGGAACATTTTAATTTTAGAAAATGTTTTTAAATTGATTTCAGCTTTCCCTTTCTAAATTTTTTCTTTATATAGGAACATTTATAGTAGAATAGTCTTGAGATACCAAGGCTTGCCTATAACCAGATATTTTCTTGGCATTTCTACTATCATATACATTATCGTTCGTCTGTAATTTAACTTTTTACTGTCTGCTTCCCTAGCACTTTCCTCTCTCTCTAAAGAGTTTGAGGGTATATGAATGTAATATTTGAAACAATCCACTTCCTTTCCAAGAAAGTCTTTAGTACAGAGCGGGAGAAAAATGTAGAACAAAATTCAAATTTACAAAAAAGACCAGACTTGCTGGTCTGACAGAGACTAGAGGAACCCCAGGGACTGTGGCCCCCAGACACCCTTCTAACTCAGAACTAAAGCCACTCCGGAAGTTCACCTTTCAGCCAAAGATTAGACAGGCCTGTAAGACGAACCATAACAGAGGTAAGGAATGTGCTTCTTAGATCAGTCAGGTTTATGAGACCAAATGGGCAGCACCTGCCCAAAAGCAAAGAGGAGAAGGCAAGAAGGAACAGGAAATCCGTATGAATGGAAACGGGGAATTCAGAGTGGAAAGGGGGAGAGCGCTGATGCATTGAAGGGATCGCAACCAATGTCACAAAATAATCTGTACATAAAATTTTGAATGGGAAACGAATTTGCTCTGTAAACTTTCACCTAAAGCACAGTAAGAAAAAGTCTTCAGTAAATACAAAAAAAAAAAAAAGATATATTAATTACTGGCGTTAGTTTTGAAAACATATAAAATTAAAATGTTGCTTTGTATAAACAAATACTACATTCGGCCTTGCTAATTTTTGCCTTAGCTAGAAATGAATTAGCTATATACATCTAGCAGTACCTCTACTACATAGTTTCCTGAATTTGGGAATACCCTTGTTTCTTAGACTTTGCATTTTACTTTCTTTACTATTTTCCCTTCTTTATTTTTCTTATGTCAAATTATCAACTTGAACAGAACTTACAAGACCTGTTACAGCCTGTGTATTATTAACTAATATTAGAGACATGTCCATAGGTACTCGGCCAAGACACAGATGTATTAGAAAATTTTTCCCAGATGTGTATTTTCCTGTTTGCCGAGAAAGTTGAAGAGGCTCCGGTTTTGTAAAAGGCAAATAAATGAAAAAGCAAAACTGAATGTCAGAGTAGAACTGAAGATTAGGTGTAAATATTTGTTTTGAAATGTGTATGTCATGTGAGGAAGCGTTCGCTGTAGAAAAGAATAGTAGAAGAAAAAGCCATTTGGTTTGCTTCAGTTTGGAATTAGGAATGATTTATTTCCTGCTGACTTTTTAAACGTTAAGTAACCCAAACATCTATCAACAGCAGAATAGATAATCAGTTGTCCATTTTTATTTAAATGAATATAAATACATTTTCTATACACAGTGATCATGAGCATTGTTATACAACCTGTATGATTCTCACATAATGTTTATCGAAGGACCAACCAAACCAAACCCATTGCCATCGAGGCAATTCCAACTCATAGCAACCCTACAGGACAGAGTAGAACTGCCCCACAGAGTTTCCAGAGAGCGGCTAGTGGATTCAAACTGCCGAGCTTTTTTAGCGGCCGAACTCTTTACCTACTACGCCACCGGGGTTTCCTTACTGAAGGAAGCCAAACACAAAAGGAATATATATTGGCCGATTCCGTTTACATAAAATTCAGAAAACTAAACTGTACTGTTTGGGGTTATATATGTAGTTGGCAAAACCATAAAGAAAACCGAGGAAGAGGTTGCCGTCGTTGCTAGGGTAGTGGTTACCTTTGTGTGGCAGTGATTGGGGTTTGTCATTAAAAAGGAGCGTGAAGACGACTTGTGAGTAGTAAGAGTTTTCCGACGGAGCCCTGGTAGCCCAATGATTAAGCAATCAGCGATCGGTGGTTTGAACCCACCAGCACGCTACGGGAGAAAACACCTGGCGATCTGCTAATATTTCAAGAATTATAGACCTAGAAAGGAGTGGCAGTAGGCGATGTATTCAAATCAGCAGTGAAAAATTATGCCATCTTTTCCTTAAGATTCTTCTGGGGAGTCGCTGCCCCAGTAACACAGTCACTGTCGAGTCAGTTCCAACTCATACTGATCCTATGTGTGTCAGAGTACAACTGTGCTCTGTAGGGTTTTCAATGGCTGGTTTTTGAGAAGTAGATTCTTCCATGATGCCTGTGGATGGACTTGAACCTCCACCCTTTTTGTTAGCATCTGAACGCTTTCGTGGTTTGCACTGCCCAGTGACTCCATAGCTGCCACAGCCCGGTTTTAAAATATTAAGCCTCACTGTCTCGTAAAAACAACCAAAAAATTTAAATGTATGTAGAAGAGTCTAACCTTTCAAGCACATTTAAAACTAGATGTTTTCTCAGTTCAATAACACTGACCTCAACTGAGAGAATTAAACTTAAGCACCAGCCTGACCAAAGTAAACTAGATTTATTTCCTGTTGAAATGAGGATTCTGTTTGTCACTATTGCATTTGTTCAGAGTTTTGATGTACATGTAATTGATTCATGGACAATTAATGCTCTAATTTATTTCCTAGCATATTTAAAGGCTCTTATTTATTAGACTTTTTATTGCTAAATTATTAATACCTATGAGAGGTATTAATGCTTTTGACTTTTAGGGATAAACTTTTAACCTCTCACCCTTTCAGTTCATGGAAGTGCTTTTCAATCCTCCTTTCTTCCTTGCAGGGCTCCCCTAGTACCATTTACTGAACACTTACTGTGTGCTGTGAAATAAAAGCATTGCATCAAATTCCTTACATGTCACTGGAATAGAAATTGGCAATAAGTATTGTTCATTGGCATTATGAAAATATATTTTCATTCGTTTGGTCCCAAAAATTTATTGAATGCCCATATATGTCAAGTGCTGGATATACAAGGAGAACAAAGACAGTAATAGTCTCTGCTTTTGAGATCATTTATGGGTTAGTGGCATGAGGGTGTCTGGGAAAGTCGGGAGTGGGATCAGAAGAATCATACCATTGCAGTACAGTATGATCTATGCCTAACTATGTTCTGGGTACTGAGAGACCAAAGAGGAGAAGCACCTAACTCAGCTGGGTGGTGGGAAGAGGCGTTGTGGGAGAGAGAAGGGACCGAAGAGAGAGATTAGGAAAGACTTATGGGAAGTGATAACTTTTAACCTGAATTCTGCAGATGAGATGAACAAGAGTGAGCCTATGAATAGAGACAAGTTCTAGGCAAAATGAACATCAGTTGGATGTGTGTGATAATTTTCAGTGATTTGCAACTGGAATAACCACAGATATTTGAAAGCATCCCATCTCCCTTAAATAAATTCAGGTGTTTTGAAATTTAAGTATCAAATGGAGCTGATGCTTTATTGGTTTTTCAACCTTTTTTAAATTGTGAAATATATCCAGTAAAGTGTATAAAGCAAGTGTATACAGTTTAACAAACAATTATAAAAGAGACACTCATGTACCCACCAACGACAGACTGTGTTCATCCTAGAAGCTGCCTCCTTGGGCCCTTTCCTGATCACACACTGCCCCACATCCCTGTACCTTTAACGTGTGTGTGTATCCCTAATCAATAGATTTCAGGTTTGCCTGTTTTTACACTTTATATTATTGGGATAATATTGTTATGTATTCTTTTGTTCAGTATAATATTTATGAGATTCATCCATGTTGTTGCTTATTATTTAATTTAATGTAGTTCTTGAGCTATACTATTTCATTATGTTAATATAACACTATTCATTCGTTGTGCTGGTTGATGGACATTCAGGAATTCATTTTGAACAGTACTGCTAAGAATATTCTTGTACATGTTAGTTATGTTATTTCAAACAGTGTCACTATTTACACATACAGAAAAAAATGATAAATCAGACTGAGTAAAACTTATTTTAAATTATAAAGTATGTTAATACTATGCTTTTTCAAGCCACTGATAATCCTCCATCAGATGTAATTCATTCATTATAATGAATTAAAAATGGGAGACTGGCAAGTAAAAGATTTTTTAAAGCCGATAAAAAAAAAAATTCAGTGAATGAATTAATAAACCAAAAAAAACCCTATTGCCATCAAGTTGGTTCTGTCTCAAGGCAACCCCATGTGTTACAGAGTAGAACTGTTTCATAGGGTTTCCTTGACTATAGTCTAAACAGAAGCAGTTCACTAGATCTTTCTTCCTCTGCCAATCTTTAGGTTCACAGCCAATCACAAATTGCCTGTACCACCCAGGAACTGAACTAATCAATAACTTAAAAAAAAAAATCAGTCAAAATAAGTCAGTACGCAACTTGTTAATGAATTGCTATAGATGAAGAAAATTGCTACTTTCCGAAAGTGACTCGGTCCTGTAACATTTTATTGTTAGATGAAAAGTCTAATTTAGGTTACTACCTGGTCTTGCCGTTTAGTTTCCCGATTGCA